CTTTTTTTTATTATGCTCTTTAAGTTTAACTCTGTTTCATCAATATTCATTTTGAGACTTTTGGAGTTTACTCTGTTTTAAGAATTGTGAAAATGATTGTTTTTTTTTGATGAATTTGTGCAGATCATATTTGATTTCCGGTTCTTGGCACTATTTGCAGTAGGAGGTTCGCTTGCTGGTTCACTACTCTGCTTCCTCAATGTAACTTTTGTGGTTCTTTTAGTCTGAAAATGTTTTGACATACAAATACACTATTCTATATACTAATGTAAAAGACTAACTATATATGTAGGGGTGTGTCTATATCGTTGAAGCATATAAAGTCTATTGGACTAACTGTGTTAAAGGCATCCACACCGGCCAAATGGTGTTACGCCTCGTCGAAGCCATAGGTTAAATTTGCTATATATACATGAGTAAGACCGGTTTGAATCGGTATAATACTCATATACTATGTGAAATTTTTGTTTTGCAGATGTTTATTTGGCTGGGACAGTTATGCTAATATTTAGTATGGGTTTGTATGGACTCTTCATCAGCCACTCTCCTCCTGATGTTCCTCCGGAAACCGATCGTGCCCTTAAAGCCTCTTCTCTCTTTGGAATGTTTGCTATGAAAGAGAGACCGAAATGGATGAAGATAAGTTCACTGGATGAGCTCAAAACCAAAGTGGGTCATGTTATTGTCATGATTCTTCTAGTGAAAATGTTCGAAAGAAGCAAGATGGTAACAATCGCTACGGGTCTCGATTTGCTTAGTTATTCCGTTTGCATCTTCTTGTCCTCTGCTTCTCTATATATCCTCCATAATCTCCATAAAGGAGAGCACTGAGTGAACACATTCGATCATCTTCTCCACTTGTACATATATGTTTAGTCTTTTACTATTTGGAAACACAGCATATATGTTAGTTTCACTTGCTATTATAATGATTGTGAACAACCAACTTTCATAGATTTTTATTTTGTTCATTCACTAGAGGAATAGTATATTCTCAAATCATTCACATTATGTACATTTCGTAGTTTCGCCAAAGCAATGCCATTGATTTGCCTCACCCTTTCTCTTGAAAGCTTCCACAACTTACCTATCTCTTCAAAAGACATAGGAGTCTCTCCATTGAGCCCAAAATAGAGTCCCAATACTCGAGATTCTCTCGCGGTAAGAGTTCCCAAAAGCTGTTCAATCTCTTGCTTCATGAGTTCCCGTTTCACCATCTCCTCTGGCCTTGTTTCTTCCGGTCCTCGTATAATCTCCTGAAACATGGTCAATCAATCCAAACTTACTCATTGCTCTCCTGAAACATGGTCAATCAATCCAAACTTACCTGTAATGTCATGCGGCCATTTTGAGACGCCACTCGGTCCAACGAAACAGGGGATCTGCTCCGATCCACGGCAAGTCTAACCGCAGATACATGGATGTTAAGGTGTTCTGCAATCTCTTCGCAGCTCGGTGTCCGTCTTAGTTTCCTAGTCAACACATTACTAGCTTCTGCAACTTTTGCAGTCAACTCCCACATGCTTCCCTACACACAAGAAGCTAAAAACGATGCATTCACTAATTACTTACCACTTCACTTCCCATAACAAAGAGGAACCCTTTAACATGGTTGATGCATATAGTAATTAAACCTCTAAAGATGGTCACAACTTTACAATATCACACTCCACTCTACTTTATAATTGGTTTGAATATGTTATGGAATCAAAATGTGACCAATGCAAGGACTCACCGGCAATTTGACTAGTCTAGACTTGTGCGCGATAGCCCTTAAGATGGCTTGTTTGATCCACCAGTAGACATAAGTAGAGAGTTTGTATCCTCGTTCTGGATCAAATCTTTCAGCTCCTCGAAGTAGACCAATGCTTCCTTCTTGAATCAAATCTTGTAGATTCAACCCTTTGCCTTGGTAACCTGTTGCAATAGAGACAACGAGCCTCCGGTAACAACGAGTAATCTTTTCTCTCGCTTCTCTTCTTCTACATAATATCTCATTAACACTACGCTTCTTGTTCCCTTTCCCAGTGCTACTGGACAACAAAATTGATACCATTTCTTTATCTTCAACACTTGTTCCCAGATTCTCAAGTTTTGCTCCTTCCTGTTTGTTACCGGAAAAAAAGTTTTTTAACTTTTAAGACTAACAAGTTTAAATAGTTTGAATCTTCCATAGATGATAATACCTTGAGGTACAAGCAAAGTTGAACTTCCTCTAAACGACTTAAAAACCCAGATCGTGAAGAAGGTCCTCCAATAATAGTATCCTCTGTTTCTGGTTCTGCATTTTCATCTTCTTCAGGCTCTAAACGATCGAAACCTTG